TCCTAGACTTTTTTTCTTTTTACCTCCAATTCCTTTGTATCCCATTAACCTCTTCTCTTTAGGCTTTTATTTTTTTGTTTGTCAGAAACCTTTCCACAAGTTTTCTCCCCTCCCTCAGAGCGTACAAATAGTCAATCCACAACAGAAAGATTTCCTAAGAGCTGCACTGATAGCTTTCATTGACTGGTTAAGTAGATTTCCAGTACATTTTGTCTGGATACCTTTTTCTAGATTTTGCTTGACTACTAGATCCATGTTGGATACTGAACTCAGCCACAGCAAGGCAAGAGGTTTCAAAGATACATTACTTACATCACAAGCCCAGATCCAAACTAGAAACTATCATAGTAAGGAAAATATAAAGACAGGAAGACAGATGTACATATACCCAAACATAAAAAGTTAAGTCAGAAATTATTTCCTGAGATGATGTTGAAGTTTTCCGGGCATGTAGTATTTCACCAGAACTCAAACAATATAAATTAATGTGGTTACAGTAAACAAGTGTATCAATGCATTTCACACCCCTAAAAGTTACTTCCCCAGCAGTCAGGCAACCAAGGACAAGTTTGCATTGAAACCTCATGTAATCTTTGCAGTATCAATGGTCCAAACAGACTAATGTTCGGTGAGGGTTGTCTTCAGGTCCCTTTTATTTGTTTAAATACAAAGCCAGAATATAATTTGGACTAATATGAAAGAGCAGTAGGTTGTAACAAGATGACAATATGAAAGAAAATATCAGAGACAGAACAACCCTTCTCCTTATCTGCGCTGCCTTGACAAAACCTTCAAACTTTGCAGGCAGGCAAAAAGATTCATTTGCTATACAGAAAGACACAGTCACAGAATGATTTCCTGAGACTTGACATAAAAAAGTTGTCTGTAACCGGACAGATTTCTGAAACCCAGACAAAGGAAGTGTTTGAAAACCTCTGCTGCAGGTCACTACACTTTTCTAGTGAACAGAAGCTGTTTTATCCTGCCTTTCATTGATTTACCATTACTGAATGGATTCCTCATTTTAACAAAACATATTGTTATATTCTAGATAAGTCTTTGACAATTCTTTACACTAACCTATGGAATTCAATTGACATCATTAATTTCACTCTGGTATTATCAGCTGAAGCTTTTTTCCTGCAAGAACCAATTTATTTAATTGAATAGTCTAAAGAGCTCCAAAACCACATACAAAAGATGAGGTTATAGCTAATAGCTTTCAAATATACTTAAAAGCTTGAATCATTAGCAGTTTCTTAAACTAGAAATTTTTAAGTGCAAACCAGAATTTATTGCATGCAAGTCTTAGTGGTGTGATTTTTCACATTTCATTTTTTTGCAAGTATATGACACAGTTAAAATAATATTCCGTATTTAGGAATAAAGCCTGTACCTCATGCTTTCCTTTTGCTTTTCCTGGTTTTGACACTACTGAAATATCACATGCATTAGTTCCTTGATTTAATATTTGAGCATGAACATCTTAAACACATTTATCCTCACAATTTTCTTATAGCTAAATAAATCCAGTTCTTAATATTTTACAAAAAAAAATGAGGCACACAGTTCCAGAAGAACTTATATGCTGTAATGCTGCTTCAGTTAAGATAGTTTTGGCTCCCTAATACATTAGAAGAAATAGGCACCCAAGGATGGCACACAAAGAACTGATTCAGTGCTATAGCTAAAAGGATATCAGAATCCTACACACAACAAAACTGGACCTGAGAGAATCTCATTTCTACTTCTTACCCTTGCAAATATTTTGAGGTTTTCATGAGAATTGAAACAATTCATGTAGATGATTCACTGCGGAATGCCTTGAGGATAAGCCATGAATTAACGTTGAGGAAGATGCGGGTTCAACACAGCTACAGGAGTGACTATCCAATTGCTTTGTGTCTAATTACTAAATGAGAACTGTGGTATTACCACCATTTCTCCTCTCATCAAAGAGATTCTTCACATGACTGGATATGCACAAGGTATATATCTTATTATCAAGATAAGATCAGATATTACTAATGAAAAAAGAATGAAGAATGCCAGCAAACTTGGTTCCTCTTAGCTCATATAAATAGAAGGGGACAAATATTTTTTTAAGATTTTAAAAATACTGCCTCTGAATCACATGGCAGTGGAGAACAATATCACATTGGCAGTCTGTTAAATGGTACCATTAACCTGTGATTACTAGTGTTCAGGAAAAAGGCAAGAAGGAATGAAGTGCAATGTACTTTTGCAATGTACTTTTTCAGAATTACGATAAATGTCAAAAACATTAGGGAAAACCTCAGCTTCTTTGAAGAAAGGAGGCAAAGCTTGCAGAAATTAATGGTAAGATTGGTATCAATATGTTTGGAGGAGGTCCAAAATTATTCTCTCTGATATTAACGTAAAGAAATTACAACTGTTTGCATTTATACCTTCTTTTAGCAACAAGGGAAGGATGTACCAGGAGAGAGCATAGCTGACCCTTTCTCTGACATGCTTTGTATGAATAGCTTCGCTCATTTCTTGAATCTTTGTTTCTGGAAAAATATATTATAGTTTGGGTTTTTTTGTTGTTGTTGTTTTAAAAATTATTCCATTAACAAACAACTCTATCTGTATGGAACCATGGACTAAAATATGACATTTTAAACTACTCAGGAAATGATGCTGTTGTCTGAATGCTGTCACTCTGAACCATGAAGTAAGGATGCAGGAGCTGCCTAAGGAAGCTTTCTGAATAAAAAGCTATGTAATACACTATAAACTTTAAAGACAATAAAAACCGAAGGTCAAATCCTGAAAAGTTCTGTTTGTCTTTTTAAAGGAAAATTCTATTGAATTCAGCAGAAATTTGTTGAGTTAAATGAGGTTAAACGTCTCTAGATCAAATTTATTAATTCCAATTAAACAAAAATGCAATACAAGACAATGATGATGGCAGCTAAGTTTCGGATACCTTTACTTTAGGTCAGAGTGCATGATCTCAGTCTTGGAGTATGACTTGAAAACTTGAAACTGTTAAACCTTTACCTTGATGTTGCACATGACAGCTACTGTAGAACCCACAAATACCGAGTATTTAATAAGACCACATAGCTCTCAGATGAATGACCCAACCCAGACATAACTACTTGTCTTAGCAATTACACTGATTGTGGACTTACTCCTGGATGGGTTTTTAATAATTTCTGTGTATCATTACATATCATAAATAGTTTTACTCTTTAACATATTAGAAATCACAAAAAATAGTTGTTCAGTTCTGAATAGATGTATCATTTTGCAGTTCCTATTAGAAAACCATGGAAGCTAACCCAGGAATATTTGTGCTCTTTACATACTGTGGTGAATAATGCAACCAGCTAAAACATGAATGGAAATGAGAACAAAATGAAAGCTAATATGATATTAAATACTCATAGTGTAACACTGATTTCCCAGTCTTCCTGGATGCTGTCTGTCTATTCAAGAACACATTAAATTGCTCAACATCATGCCAAAAAATCCACTCTGCTTTACAGCACAACAGATTTATAGAATTCCGATCAAGAAGTATGAAAAAATAGCCCTAGCCAGTACAAATGCATATGACTACTGTGCTCACTCTAGCAAAGCAATTTTCTAGTTTTTTGCTGAATAACCTTCAAATAATAGAGTTAAGAACAAAACGACAGTAAAAATCTTTTACTAAACATACAAACAATCAAGTCCTCATTTCAGAAAGTGGAAAGATGAAGTAACTCACCTGATTTCATAACTTGTGTGAACCTTAATACTCAATTAGAATTCAACAGCAATTGACTACTAGACTTTTGTCATCATTCCAGCACTCTTTATGCAACAGAAATGTTTTTTCAATCTAGCATGTAAGGTTTTGAAACAAATCCCCCCACTTAAACACATCTGGAGCTTGCAACTTCCAGGTAGTCCTGTTTTTGTTATAACCTATGTCAAAATACTTCATTGAAATACATCCTGAAAATTCAGGAAATTTGAAATCAAATCCATATACGAACTTTACATCTGGGGATGTTTTAGTTGCCACACGCTATGTTCCAAACTGCATAAAATGATTCAAAGCAACGTTCAGTGTAAGCACAATATAAACTCATATATGACGATCATTCAAATTATAGAGACACCTGTTTTTTTTGTGGCTTGAAACAAGTATCAGTGATCATTTTTAGTATCCTGGAACAAGGAGATTGGTAACAAATTTTCATGACAGACACACACAATGAGATTATAAATTAGTTTCCTGAGAGAAGGCTCACTAATAAGATTGGATCTAAAATTTAGGTCACTTAAAATTAAGACTCAGCTAATAGGCTAAAAAAAAACCCCAACAAGAACAACAAAAAAAAAGAAAATAAAAAAATGTCATAACGTGAATTCAGGTTTAATCTTTTTTACCATAAACACTGTAAAGTTGCAAAGAGTAAGTTTCTTGTAAAGAAATTGTCTAATTTTAAAGTGCATTTGCTATCTCCTTACCTGGAGGCTATTTCTAAAAGAAAAATAAAATATCTTGTATTACATTATGAAGTTATAACATTTAAGCAATTAATTTTTTGTGTTGTATAAGTTCTGATGTCATTGAAAAGATAAATTTGTAAAACTTCTTTTCAAAACGATTTACTGATTCTATCACAAACACACTGCTTCCTTTATTTATAAATGTATTTACAGTACCAGAATTATCACACAATCGAAGAAAAATTACCTTTTCTTTAATGTTCAGAGATGATGAGAGTGTGAAAGCCCTATAGGTCCTTTGCCAATCATATGAGAAAACGCATAGTCTGGTAAGGTCAGAAATAGCCCATTTGGCTTGTCTTACACAGAAATAATGTATTATGAACTCATACGTCTAACTCATTCTAGGTACTAGAAAGTTCTTCTAAAAGAATATACTAATAAATCTCCCACCTACATGGCACAGAAAGATTTTTTAATGTATTGCAAATCCCTTTCCTCAGTCTTTGGCAGTGTCCACAACTTACCATCTCCATTCTCTACTATGGCCAATGGCTCTCCGCAGATTGCTGTCTTTCTCAAGATATTCATAGTCCTTTGAACTTCTGCCAGTAGCACCGCTTGCATTGCCTCAATAATCTGTCAAAAGTGCAAATTATTATTGGATGATTTTGGTACTTCAATTATTTATGTAAGAATTTGACAATTTTAAATAACTATCACAAAATCTGAAGACAGTTCCAGTGAATGTCATTAGAAAGTCAACACTTAACAGTATGTTTCAGATAGTGATAACTGTGTGTCTCTACATACATATTAAGAAATTAATGTTAAGTGGATAGCAATAAAATAGTGCAAGTTATCAGTTGTGACTGCTTCCCACTAATTAAACAGTATTTTCTTTAATCTCAAAATTAGAAGTAGCCACCTACCCCCTCCTTGATTTCAATAGCTCATGACAATATACACTAGAAAAGTACATGGTGCTAACAGCTCATAACCAACATCTTCACTTTTTTTTTTTCTATCATATGCAAAAAAACCCTTCATAGACTAAGGACTTTGTATTTTGAATTGTTAGACTTTTTGGTGTCTAGTCTCTCTGAAAAGCTTACAGAATGTTTTGTTATTAGTACTAATCCCCTATTTCTCTAGCTCAAACATGATAACACTGTATTTTTTTGTCTAATACAAAGAGAAATACCATTCCTCAAATGACTCTTACGCAAAACGAGCAGGTGCTGGAATTATGAACAGCCTGTAAGTGGCACTTGCAATAGCTGATGCATCACATATGGGTGTTAAGATGATGAAGTGTGTAGACTATAGGATAGAGTTAGTATCTTCCCTCTCTTTACTTTAGTAAAGCATCAGGAGAACTGAAAAAGTTTAAAGACCTAAGACATTTATAAAGCACATGAAGACCTTTCACAATGGACTGAAACTTTTGCAATTCTTACTCAGCCTAAATTTCAGCATGGTGCAGAAAGGCAGCATGTGTATCATTTGATTCATTTGATATTTCCTTCAGAAAAGAAATCCATTTTTTCTCCACATCAGGAAGGTATTAATTCTCAAATACAAGAAATCTAAAGTTTCGGGGACAGCATACTCCACCTCTACTTAAATATGAATTTAAATTCCTTATGAAAAATTTACGTTTATACACTTATAAACATTTTAGGTTTATACAATATTTCTATTATAAGCAATGTATTAGCATTATTTAAATTTAATATGAATTGAAGTTGATATGCAGGCTCCCTCAAACTGCTTGGAAAAGAGACAGTTTCATTTCGCTAATCAATTACAGTGAATTCATGTGCTGTCCTCAATCACATTTCTAGCTGCCCTTGTAAATTCAAATCTTTAAGCAGAACAAAGGCTGTAGATGTCCTTTGTGACAAAATCCTTTATTGTAGACAAGTATATCATAGTCAGGTCCACAGTGTGAAAGTTCACAGCAAGTGAACCCAGCCCTATGTGTTTTAACATAGCACAAACCTTCACCTTGTTATAATAGCACTTTATTTTACCGGGGAAACTAAAGGCAGTTTGCAATTCCTCACATCCATACAACTCTGAGCGTTGGGGATTACAGATCCTGACTTTACAGCAGACTCTTACAATATATCTACAATAAATAAGAAAGAGAAGGAAACACAGACATGTAATTGTCCTGGGAAAATTTTTGAAGTAAAAAAAAAATCTTAGAGAATTGCACACTTTTTTTTCATGGTGTTCTGATTTGCTAAGAACCTGTCACTAATCTGGATCAGATATGTGTTACCTGTACCATTGCTGTGTATGTCAGCCAGAAGCATTTGTAACACGTAATTTCCATCTAACATCTTAAAACTAAATAAGAAACTGCAGCAAATGGCACAATACGATATTGCAGAGGCATCCGTACTTCTCTGCATGCTACTTGTCTATCACTTTGTTGAACCCACATTTCCACAGCACTCGATGTGTTTTCACATTTACTTTTGTCCTCTCAGTGCATCCTCCCCAAAAATTCATACTCCACTTAAGTCTTCTGCATCCTTCCGGATTACATATACATTGGCTATCTTGCTGGCCATTAGTATATGTATTCATTTTTTCCCCCCACCATTGTAAATACTAGTTGCTTTTTAGTTGGGACTGTGAATATGACAGAACTTATGCTGCCTCTGTGACTGATGAAGTATAAATAGCATATGACCAACTAGAAATATAGATACTAACGAGTGAAAGTTGTTTGACTGCAGCAGCAATACTTGATAATAATTCAAAAACACAAGTGAACAAAAGTTGAGGCAAGCTGTACTGTTACATTTATACTAAGTTACACCATCTTTCCTTTCTACATTTTATCAATTACTTCCAAGGATTCCTATTCGCTTTATAATGAATGGGTTTAAGGAGAGAAGTCAATAGACTTCACTCCTGGTTACTGCTCAGGCCATAACCTCTGCAGGTCTGAGCCTTGCAAGAAACTGCCTCCTGGATACCTCCATAACACAGTTCTACTGGGAATCAAAAAAAATACAGATCAAAATATCAGACGTGTATTATCTGGGCTTTCCTCAAATTCTGGATAGTAGCTGTCAAGAGAGTTATCTAGACTCTTATGCAGTTGGCTTCAGGTACAGTCATATGCTGTAAAAACAAATGCATTCAGAGCTTGTCAGAGTAATTACTGATGCCCAAGTATACAGTAAAGAAGGTACCAGCTTATGAGTACTACTCTTTACAATCACCTTAACATGAAGGGGCTTATTCTTTTAAAGTCATTTGCAATATATCTTGGATTCAGAGCACCTTATTTTAGATATTAATGGAAATTAAGTAACTGAAGTGAAAAAAACACAGGGGCACTGCAGGAATCAATAGAAAGAGATCAGATGATTTATTCCTCCTAAAATCTCAGCAGTCACTCCACAGTGCCTATCTTTTTCCACTAGTGAAAGAGATTATGTCTGAGACCTAAATATATGGCATCAAGTTTTCCTAAGCAGAGACTGTGCTAAGTAGCTACCTGGTAATAAAGGATGCAAATTTTCTTGCACAGAAAAGGAATACTGCAACATCAGGATGGCAGTGAAGGACTTCCAAATCAGGACCTAAATGTATAAACTGTATTTCTGATGATGCTCCTGAATTATTATATCCAAGTTCTAACAAGGTATTATTACTTGGGACCATTTCAAGGTTAGAGCTGATTCATGTCCAGGTAAATCAGAACTAGGAGGAGCAGATACGAATCCTATTAATTAGTAAAGAATTTGGTAAAGCTCAGTTACTTCTATAAACGTGTGTCACACCACAGAGGCCTGATACTACTCTAGGTAACACGAAGGCAAACTGACAAAGCCCTGCAGACTGGTGGTCACACTGTATGACAGACCACCCGTGTCCTGTCATGAAACTAAAATCCTTGAATATGTAAAGAACATACACTTAACATTTTATCAGTGGAACTACTGGCCTACTGCAGTTCCATGGAAAACTGACTGTCATGCTTAGTACTGAATTTCTGGGCTGAGATCAAAACCAGCTATGGAGAGAGAGTTTTTCACTCCATTTTACAAATGGTTTTCCAGCTCAGGGAATAAGACATATTGTAGAAGGAAGCTTACTTTGTCTGTAAGCATTTTGTGAAGAGACAAAGAACTTAGTTTTCATGAAAGCCAACCTAACAAGAACTAACTTCACTCAGTGAGTTCTAAAACCTTAGAGCAGGAAAAAAGGAAGTAAATTATTTCCTATTGTGTTCTCCATCTTGAAATACCTGAATAAAGATAAAGGGAGAAGGCATCTTTCACTTGAAGACTAAGGAGCTATGAAGAACAAGGAAGTAACTATCACAGAAATCCTTCTGGTGGAAAAAAAAAAAAAAAATCAAATTCTCATAACTGGTGGAGTCAACTACAGGCAAAACATTTTGATTGCAGCTTAGTTTGACTATTCTGGTAACTTTTTAGTTTTAAGTTTTATTTTAACATTCACTCAGCCAAAAAGATTTCATGAAGCTGCAATAACATAATATTATTTTAAAAATTTAAAGTAGCACTAAATGCCTATCACTGACAACTAAGTCACAGGCTATTTTAAATACAGAGGAACGCTAATTAGGACATGAATGCAACCTCTATTTCCTCATATTAAACAGGAAGCTTTTGGGGTTTTTTTTTGTTGTTTTTGTTTTGTTTTGTTTTGTTTCTTTCTACACCTCTCTGAAAATACAAGCACACCTAAAGTAATTTCTGGATGGGATGGGAGTGTGGCAACAAGCTATATTTTAACTGAAAGAACAGCAAAACACATGAAGATGACAGTTCCTTTAAAATCATCTGGGGAAAAACATCGTAGAAAATTTTTAAAAAATATATACATTTTTAAAATTTCAGACAGAAAAAGACCTCCCTTAGCCCTTCAACTTCAACAAGTCAGTAGTCCCCTGATCAATCATTTGCAGCAGGTTTTCTTAGTTTCCTTGTTTGCACAGAATCTGTTCCAGTACTGTAAGGAGATGAAGAATCAATAAATGGCAAGTCCTTTGGGTCATGTCTGAGAGCCAGTATCGTCCACTGAAGATAACATTAAAAAATTTTTAAAAGCACAGTAACTAGTGATGTTTTGGGTAAATGTGCATGAGTGCTTAATCATGTCACTCAGGATTAATAAACTGACCATAAACAGGTGTTTGCATAAAGGAAGATTTAACAAAGTCACCCTACTATAAACAAAAACTTATTGTCAACATCACGAATTCTTTTGAACGTTAAAATGTTTATGGCAGTTTGGCAGTAAACTCAAAACCTGTGCTACAAAGCAGGATAATTAAGCTTATTGCAGCTACAAAGCTGTATCTAAATAATGATAGAATTTAAGAAGCACTGATAGCATAACATTTGCATTACCGGGCAATTTCAGTATCTTAAATTGAAAGTCTTCTCAGATGAAAAAGTGTGAGGCAGCTCATTCCCCACCTTATCGTCCTGCACACTAACCTCCTGTGGTAGATAAGACCATTATCATTGTATAAGCTGGTCAGTCACTAAATTCTCCAGGTAATATAAATACATAATAACATAAATCTCACATAATCAGCTATGTGACATATACAAGTTTCATGGCTGTACAACTTTATAAAGGGTTTCACTGGCTGACTAGATCAGAAAGAATTTATATGGAGTTCACATCAGAATTGCAGACATTAAAACTGAGGTTCTACAGTTGATGTTTTTATCACAAAAACTCAAAAAATGAAAAAAATCTTATTGTAAAGGAAAAAGGAACAGTTTTTGAGTAAAAAAGAATGCTAGAATAACATGGAAAATGTGCAGACCACATAGATATAATAACTGATACATTAAAGATAAAAATGCTTAATTCAATTGCATGTGAATATTTGCAGAAACCATTATTGTCTACCTAATAGAACTGGGGACTATCACCACAGTACCCCTGCACATCTCAGCTCTGGAAAATAGTCTTGACACTCAAAACGTAGCAGAGAGTTGCATTCAGTTTTAAAAGTAATCGCACAAAATAAACTTGTAATAGCTATTTTTTGTAGAATAAAATTCCTTGTGGTCATAGTACACTGTCTTGAGTTTCATACTCTTGTACATTAACTCACTCAGGCAACCACACTTTATTTAAGTGCATATTTCCACAATGAAAAACAGTCTCTAGATTTCACTGTTCAGACTATTTCACAGTTATCTGTCAACTCTCAAGAAACAGTAATTTATCTCTCAAGACACCAGATTCTTCACTAACAATAGGCATGAGCTTCATCTGACCTGTGAAACCATAACTTACTTTTCTAAGTCAATCTTGAAGTGTGTTCTAATATTTAAGGACTTGGGGTTAAGTATTTATAGAGGAAGAAGAAAATGCCTTCTTAGAGATAATAACACATTGGCATATGACACTACTCTTATTTTGGCCTTGATTTTCCTGGAGCATAAAATGACATTTGTAATCTAAGTTACATCGGATTGTTAGGGGACAGGTGACTCTTTAAAGTACATGCTACGAACAAATATCATCTAGATTAAAGAGTAGTATGACACTCTCACATGTAAGCTTGTATCTTAAGGTAAAATAGTTTAATGAGCAGCACAATTCCTATTAAAATAATCTGCTTTCCATAGATGTGAATGGTACAGTCTATGTAATTATTTCATAACTATTATGCCACAGACTACTTCCTACCTTTATAGATTGGTCACTCCAACCACAAATGAGCTTCAGCAATGACACACTCCCAAAGTCCGAGGAATATCTACTTTTACCTGAAAAACATATACATAATTTAAGAACTGACAATATACATAGAAGTACATGAATAGATATTTAACAAGCTGATTCAAGCAATGCTGATATGAATTAATATTTTTTTATAGCTCTTACTGACTCAAGAGTTAATTTGAAGCTTTTCTAGTCTAAACACAAAGCACTCTTTCAGCACATGTTCCCATGATCAAGAACAGCACAGCCAATCAGATACTTATCACTGAGCCTTGTCCTCTGCTGCAGTACTTCAGTTTCCTGCCCATGTATGCAACAAAAGCATTAAAGACTCCTGTTTTGTTTTTGTTCCCACATTTTTGCACATGTATAAATGTATAAAGAAAGTGCAGAAACGTCAGTAGCATCAAGTTTTAACGTTTCCCTTTCTGCTGTCCAGTGTGTATTTGATGCTGAAGAACTGACCATTCCTAAAATATCAGAGAACTCCAAGTCTCAGATTAGATTTTAATTTGCAAATCCAAACAACTGCATGAATGAGAAGATATGGGATTATCAGTTAGACTACCTTAGAAGCCTTAGTTCACTCAGTAAAACTATTTCCGTGTCCACGAAAATTTTAGTCATCTCTATACCACTTCTATGCCTTTCACCTACTTATTTTCCTATTGTCACTTGATTTTACGTTCCACCTCTTTCTTCCAACAGGCATTTCTGCTGTTATCACAAGTTCTACAGTAATGGCACATATAAGTTATAGAAGGAAAGGTACACTAAAAACTGATTTTAGATTAGGATATTAAGGCTTACTTACATAGTGGATGTTCAAGAAATGACTTGAAAGACTTTGTGTCTAGACAGCACTTAGTCTATAACAGGAACACTGTATTTATTAGGTAATGTATACTGACCAATATTCATATTCTGCTTAGGTTTTTATTTAAACATTCTTTGGCCAGTCACATACCAAAAACATAAACTTTGTCTGGTTTGCAAAGCCAAGATAGGAAAACAATTATCTTTTGGACATTAATGTGAAGAGATTACGTTATTCCACCGTAAGCCAAAAGACTAAAGGCATTATTGAACATCTACATTGAACTCTTGTATTACTAAGGCAACAGTTTGCTTGAAGGGCTGTATATATTATCAGGCAGGCACATAACGCTGATGAGGGAGATGGTGGAGAGAGGATACAATAGCATTTGTCTTATTACATTTCTGTATTTCAGATTGCTAGAATATGTTTTTAGAAACTTAGCTGAATGTTTGGCCATCATGGGGGAAAAAAAATAAAAAAATCCTTGATTCCAGTATTACTTAACAGTCAACATTCTGTTTACATGCTTTTGTGATATTCACAGAAGACAAAATAATCCAGTTTCTGTACTTGGAAACTGGAACTGCTCACAGCTAAAAAACATAAGTAATTCTTTTCATTAATGAAGATAAATGTATTTTAGCACAAAAAGCATGCAAAAAAATCCCATTTACAAGCTAATATTGCCACTCCTCCACATACTTACTGCTTGGTAACTCTTCATAAAACCTGGGGAATGAAGGTGTTGCTACTTCTGTATTTCGCCACTTGTCATGTACAGATTCCGACTTCTGCAGACTAAAAACCCATGAAATTATTGAACAAAATCTGAACATACAAAAGCCTTATGTCAAAGTAGTTTTGCGTGGGGTTTTTTTAAGGTAATTACTATGCTATCAAATACTAATCAAACACAAATTATTTTCTCCTGAAAAGTCAGTTGCATTTTTTTGCCTACAATTTGGTATTGCAACATTCACATGTACACAAATACTGGACTTAGGAGGTTTTTTCTATTACTTAGGGAAAAAGTTCAAGGCAATCTAGCAGCTTTATTTTCTAAGTTTCCATTTTTTTTCCACAGTGTTAAATAATTTAGGTTTTTATTGCAATACTTGTGACTCCAGCAGATGACTCCAATTTAGTACCCTAGTCTGTGTATCTACTCCTCTTCAGTACTTTGGCACTAACACAGCAACCTACCACTTGAAGACAAAGGATCTGGATAGAAGGGAAAGGAAGTGAAAAACTTCTCCAAAGCACTGCACTATTTTAAACTATTTCTTTTAAATACATTGTTATAGTGACCCTGCACAAATGAGATTTAGGTGTCATTTAAAAATAACTTATTTCACCTTTCACTACAACCAACAGTAAGTCATAATATTTTAAAAGCCTTGCAACACTAAACATCTCTGAAAGCTTTCAGCTCGAGAACTTTAAGTTACAGGTACAAATCCCAAAAGGCAGGATAAACCAACTACTTTTAAGATGTTTTCTTACTCGCTTCTTCCTGTTTCTGTACTACGTTTATAATCTGACACACTTTACTGCAGGTTCCTTTATTTTCACAAGCCAGGTCAAGTTGTGAAAAAAAAAAAAACAAACCACACCACAAAAAAACTCCCCAAACCTATAACAGTTACACAAAACACATTTACAAACAACAGCTTATAGCTTCAGGTCCAAGTTATTCCATGTTTTTCATACTTTATTCCTTTTTGGACTCCGAACTTGTTTTTTTCCTGAAATGTTCCAATTATGTTAAAAATGCTGTAGCTTTTTTTCTTCTTTTTTAAAAGAAAAAGAAACCCCACATTAGTACTGGTCTGATAATAAGTGCTCAGAGCATATCATTCGCTGCTCATTATTTTCACATTGCACAAATTTCTTTTATCCAGTCAAAAAGGTAATACTTCACAGAAACTCTATAACCTGAAACTTACTGATCCAAATTACAAGCTGAAAACTTAGGATAGCAACTGGTCAAGAGCTTTTCAACCAAATGTTTTGGACTGGGGAATGACGATCTGTCAAACCTGTAGTTTAAGCAGAAACAAAGACCAAATTTCTGTTCAAAATGAGAGTACCAGACTCATCCAAGAAGGTCCAATAGTTCATGAATTGATGAAATGCATTTTTCCAGTTCTGACTCTTCAGATTAAAAGTACGTATACATGTGTGTGCATTTTATTGAACAAAGAAGAAATTCCTTTCACTCTCCTGTAACAGCAAAATCCTTGGATATGCCAAAGAACAGATTTTAGCTTCATTATCGCATTCCCCAGATCAAGGCCGTCGTTGGTTTACACTGAAATAATTCTCTTGGAGTTCAGTGAAAATTTCATTGCTATATGCAAAGTGGGAAGTGTTAAATTTGCTGGAACCCGCAAATGATTACTAAACCAGTAGTTAGACACTGAGCTGCACTGCAAGGAGTAAACACAGAAGTGTGAATAATCAGTTGAATTCATATTAAGCAAGTGTCCTAGTCACTGAATAATCTGTTCTGATATTCTTTCTCCTGTTATTAATTTGAAAGTTTAAAAGCTCTGGAGTTTCTACCAGTGTGCTAACAAAAAATAAACTTTCACAGGATGGAAAAACATCTATGACTCTCTGCTGACACATAAGCTATTGAAGAAGATCAGAACTCACACTAGTAACTGAACTAGTAAGAGGTGTGTGTGCTGCAGTAATACTTAAGAGACCAGGATTCTTATAAGCAGTGAAAAGCATCCTTCCACCTCCTTCTGCAAATGTTGTGGCAAAACAGAATACACAGTTTTTTGCCTTGAGCATGCTGTAAATTTTAGTTAAGCCAACTGTCCAAAGAGGCTTGGCTACACAGTACCCTTTTAAAAGGCAAACTGGACAAAATAGTATTTGCTTGGTTTCTCTCATTTAGACAGAGGTACATTACTTTAACAGTTCACCGTAACAGAGAAAACTCATTCCAACCCTGAAAATATAAGGATAAATCATATAAAAGGATTGTTGTTCAGGAACTCAAGATGAAAATATGGAGATCAGGAAAAAAACCAACCAAACAACAACACAACAATCTCCATCCCCCTCCCCAAACAAAATAAATTATCCAAAAAACCCACCCCTGCAAGTATACAATTTAACTACTCTTATCCACATGAAGCCATTGGAAGGCAACAGCCCATGTTAAAGGATCACAAATGGCACCCAACTAAAGCTTAGCTATAAACCAGCTATAAATAGGTATACTATTCAAACTCTAGAAAAAAAAGGCAATTCAATCCAAACTATGTAAAAATCCCCCCTGAAAAAAGATTTCAGGGTTTTTGAATACAATTCGTAACTTTTTTTGTAACCAAAATTAATTTCAAGGTTCTTTTCCTCTGTTTTCTACAGAAAAAATCACTTATTTCTACAAGAGATACTAGCTTTTATTACTTTACATTTCCTGCAGAAAACTTTAAATTATTTAGTATAGCTTTCAGAAAAAAAAAAAAGTGCACTTTTTGCAGCAACTTTAAAACTTTTAACTCCATGGTGGTATGTTCCAAAGCCAGGATATGTAAGTCTGGAAAAAATATTTGATTTTGGTATAATGACTAACTCCAATTACATACTGTCTTTCCAACAGATTACTGTAAGACATAATGCAAACATAAAGCCCTTTCTTGCACGAAAACACAAGCTTTCATGTAAGAGCTTGTGTTGAGTATGGACCAGTAGGCAATGTGCTTAGCAGTAAAAGTAACGGAAACGTGTGTTTGTCCTGCAGGATGATGCATATCTCTTCAGATATGCTGAATGCCTAGAGCTTTCTTGAAGACACAGATATTTGCAGCATTTTTTCCCTCGTCTTGCCTCTGGGCCATAGCACCACCAACATTGAAGTTAATTGTCCCTAAAATGCTAAATGCAGACCAACCTAGCTTTGCTAAACAACAAAAGCATGCGGACAATATCCATTGCCTGATTAGTATGCTCTATTTGGCTTGATCAAATAATGTCAAGCATGCTATTTTTCCTTTAATGCTGAAAAAGCATTTAGTCAATAAATTTGTTTTGAGTAACATAAATGTTATTTGGGATGATTCTCACAACATAAAGGCTGATGAGGCATTCATCCCTGGCAACTGCCAGTATTACTGGGGCCACTGTACTTCAGACTGTGTAACTAGGACAGACTGCTCTTGTGTCTCATGTTTTATCTATCTGTGAAGCCAAGGATTTCATGGTAAAGGAAGGATATTGCTTACACAGAATGGAAGGTAAACCAGCACAAATGTGCTTAATGCACATCTCATGGTGTGCCTGAAGAGATCTCATTATTCTGCTTAAACTGTGAGGAAGACTGAAGGTGCCTAAATTCAAGTTCTTGTTCTGTTGAAAAAAAATTCTGTATCAGTTCTCATCTGCTAAATACAAAAATATATTTAATTTCATCATGATCTGTTTTTGTTCAAAGGACAACCTCTTAAAAAAGCTTTAGAAAAACTCTATCACAAAAGTCCCTAATTAAGAAAGCATTTGTTTCACTTTTTTCACCTTTTAACCATTATAAAGGAAGGAAAGACTCACAATGAAAAGGTTCTTACCTTTCAATTTTACATGTAACTGCTGAAGGTATGTTAATTATCCTGTTGATTAAAGCTATTCTCCTAAATAAGAACAATATAGTTTCCAGTCCTTTTGTTTCATAAATATTATTCTCGGATCCATCCTTCTTTTCAGTTTGTCCTTCAGTTGCAGCAAGGTACTTGTTTGATAAATCAAGCACTCTTTTTGAAAACAAGTTGATCCTTGCATGTTCTTCTAGCACACCACAAACAGTAGATTTCCATCCTGGCAACATCAGTGACAGGTGGTTTTCATTTGACACAAGTCCAAAAGAAGCAGGACACTGAAGCCTTAAGATATCCAAGTGTCTAACACAAAGACTGTCTATTTCTTTATCTACACCCCATGGTAAGAGACATGCCAAAAGCAGTTTCGCTGTATCAGTGGTGACGTTCACATCAATGTCTCCTGATGGCTGCATTCTAATCTTTCTTGAACTCTTCATTTTTTTCTGTCTCTTCATGCCACCACTTTCTTCCAAAGGCCTTGCTGTGTTGTTATCCCTACGAACCTGGTCTGAGCAAACATTATCTACTTGCCCATGTGTTGGACATACACAGCCAGCAGTTTTATTTCTTTTTAATGTCAGCGCCCTTTTCTCAGTAGTACTTTTGGCTCTTTCTAGAGTATCGTAATTGTGGAATGAATTTGATGACTTCAGTCCATTGAGTTGAGATGACAGAAGAAGCTCCTCAAGTTTGTCCAGATCAAATAGGAGAACATGGAAGTTCACATTGTTCCATTTTGTCTTCACTGGTAAAATAGTAAAGGGCTGTTGGTTGCAGCTGGTATCAGTTGACTGAAAGAAAAACATTAAGTGTCCAAGCACAAATTTATATTATTCATAATTTTTCATGATATTGGCATAGAATTGCAAATAGACTACAGACCAAATTAATAAATATAATTAAGTTGAACGTAATAAACTTCTTTCTAAAGAAAAAGGATGTTCTTCTAAACAGCCTAAGAGACATATGCATGTAAATATTTATAATACAGGCTCCCTAATATCTTCACAGTTATACAGCCATGCTGCAGGTTGCATAGCCAAAACTCTGGCATAGTATTTCTTCTGCTAGGTCCTATTTTAAGCTGAAAGGCTTTTAGGAAAGTTTTAAATAATACAGACTGTCCCCCTCCCCATCCTCCCCAAAATAAAGCTAGGGAAGCAAATCTTACAATGTAAAATTGTTGCAAACCTTGAGAATCTGTATGCCTTGTAGCAATTTGACGTATGTCTGACATAAAGACTATGCTTTTTGCCCTTTCAAAACATGCAAAACTACAAGTTACCTAGTTTAAGTCACACAGACTTCATCAGCAACAACAAAGAACTTAGGCAACTAGATCTCTAGGTACAAAATTAATTACCTTAGATGAAATTGAGAGGAAAAGGCTACAGAGCTGCCACAATGTTTGTGAACATCTGACTTCACCTGGTGCCACCCAATTTCCAACCTGGAACTTGCTAAAACTCCTTATAATTTTCCAACAACTTGAAAGACTATTCAAAGAGCATTATTTCAGCTTTATACAGTAACATGATAATTGTGCTAGTATAAATACATGTCCAATTACTGCTGTTAATAAATACTAAAACAGTTTAAATCCTCCTAAAATATGGAAGAAAAATATTTGAGAACAGCTACAGTTACTCACAACTTCAGACTGCCAAACTATAACAAACTAGCTGCAAACGATAACAGTAAACTAATGATGATGAACTGTAATAGTATCATCTGAACACCATGAGAAATGTTCAAAATCACCTTTAAAACAATTTATCTCATTTTTTTCTTGTAGTTTCAGTATTTAAATGATAAATCATCATTAAGACTAAAAGTTGACATCTTTTAGAATTAGAACTAATTTTTATTTTGCCAGTGGCCTAGCCATATGGTAACTATACTGTGACAAACTCCTGAGAAGGGGATGATGTATTTGAACACATTAAAAATCAGCTCCTTATACAGGTATCACAGAAGAATTTGCCCACACAGATGCCTGTCAAAAAGCAACGTATCCTAGACATTAGAATCTTAGACAGAATGTAGCCTAAGCATAGAAAAAGAATACAGAATTTGAGAAGAAAAAATAAGACAAGAAAGTCTTCTCTAGTAGGACATAAACTCTATAGATTAGATACTCTCTAAGCATAACCTGTGGAAGGAAAGAAAAAGGAAGAATAAACACAAGAATGAAAAAAAAAATAAAAAAAAAATCACATAAAGCCATGTGAGCAGAGGACGCATGCATGCAGGAATAAGATCCTAAGGATGAACAAGTCAAGAAGAGGAAAAAACCAAAATCTGTCCTAGAGGATATTGGGACATTTCTATATTTGGAAAACATTCCTTGCGTGGTTCTCCTCCACTCCCAGTCTACATATAACCCAATGAAGAGGTTGCAATAATAATGCTACCAGTGGCAGTTAATGATTTTTAAAATGAAAATTTTAATGTTTCAGTTAAACCTACCTTCCACCTCAATTTTAATTTTTAGATGCATTTTAAAACATAAAGTCTGAAGCAATAATACCTTCTAAATAAAAAAAAATAAAAATACAGTAAATATTGACTCTGGGCATTATGAATTTTTCAAAAGATTTTTTTAAATAGGAAATGCAGGAAGGCATGTCTGTAGGTCATCTCATCAAAACTCCTACTCTACAGACTTTCATGTCACTGACACGTTTATGAAGCTGCTGGTATTTTGCAACTCAATTTCTGAGGAAAAAAAACATGACAAATACTTAATTTTATTTTGCAACAAAATTCCTGTTTCTTCTGCATGCAACTAAATATACCAGAAAGAGCATGAAACGTCAGAGTTTAATCTTTAAGGATTTCCATTAAAAAGATAAAGCTCTATAAGTTTTTTCTGAGAGACTCCAGATGAGTTTGTAGAAGAGCAACTACGTTCGTTCACAGGAATCGTCATGCTGCGCTACAAAAAGGTATTCCATGAAGGCACTGGGAGGATCATCCAATGGTAAAGTTATGAGATTGCGACACAACATCTTGTATCAGAACACTGTTGTGTCTATTAAAGAGGCATCTTTTACCTTCAGGGGAAGAGCAAAAATGAGGGAGTATAAATTCCTCACTGATGCTTCTGCCTTATATGCTTTTATTGTCCTGCACAAGCCTGAGCTCTCAGCACTGTGCTCAGTCTATTTCCCCTCTCCAAGCAAGCATGTATGAGCAGAAAGACAGTGTCGAGAAGCAACTTTTCAGCCCAGTGATACATTTGCAAACAATCATACCATCTTCCATATCACCAGTGACACAGATTACTACATAAATTTTAACTTTCTTGTGTTTAGAAATATTTCACTAATGCAAAGAACTGTTTCTGTTGAAAATAGCTGAATCGTAAAAGAAATTATCAAGAGTTTGTAAACAGGGCACCAGCTGGCTTTATCCTGAATGGTATGTTGATTAACTCATCTTTCTCTAGGCTACTCCTTAACTAACTCCTTTTAGAGTACAAACTATTATTTTATAGGATTAGCTATTTTAAAACTGTTAATATCATAGCTATGAATAACACAAGGAAATAATTTGACTCTGTCATTTTACTGTTTAGTTTTGTGTAATAACATAATTTGGTTTTCTGTTATCTAGAGAACAATGCTCCCACCAGATGAAGATGTACTCTAAATACATAATCTTATTTAAAGATCTCCATAGGGAGTTATAAGTAAAAGATTATAACTACTTGTTCAGGTTTTCTTTTTATTCCTTTCCTTTTTAAAAAACAATACATTGTATTTAAGCACTAGGATTATTTTAATCTTTAATTATGCTGTTTCCTAATACACAGAGAGAACCCCATGGAATGCAAACACTGGAATTCATAAGCTAGCTTTGACATTAAAAGAAGCTATTATTATTTGGCCTATCATTTTCATTTTCCCTGTTCTATACATTTATATTTGGTTGATTAACATTTAGAAACCTTTAGGGAAATCACCATCAAAACAAAATAAAATACTGTGACAATCTCAATCTGTTAAGGCATCTGGTGATGCTACTGTGTGTGAAGTCACAATAAATGTTCACTGGCAGTATGAAAGCTTACCTGACATTGATCCTAAACGTATCTGCCGAGTTATCTTAGCCCTCTACTATAGGCATTTCATTTCAGCGAAACAAGTTGGATATCTAAAGCTTTAGACATAAAACATTATTTAGGAAATATGGATAAGCTATTCTTTGCAACAGAAGATGACAGAAAATGGGAGCAAACCCATAAAACTAACTATGAACTACAGGCCTGGGAATAGCATTTGATGGTAGACATTGAAAAGCAGATTCACAGATATTTACATTCTATATTGTGCCTTTCCTTAAGTTCCAGAAGTATTTGACAAAAATAAGTCCTGCTACATTCAAGACAAATATTGCCATTAACTTTTTTTCCCCCAAATATGCACATTAAGAGTTTAATAACCCAGGGTCAAAAAATAGGCTAGTAACAAATGGTGATAACAAAGTACGACTTGTCTCTGAACCAGACAGTGCAACTTTGAGGCCTCCCTGTTGCCAACACACAGGCACCAGTAATGAAAAGATCCCTTTTTTCTTATTTTCTGACAATTTTTGCTCAACTCAGACTCAGTTATCACAACATTGTGTCTGAAACCCAAACTACTTAAAGCACCTATATCCAAACCCTAAGCCACTGAAGCCTTACTATTCTCCCTGTGAATTTCAAAGGAGTACATTAAAAAGGACTGCAGTAATACACAGGCTTCCTTCAATTCTGAAAGTTAAATGACATGTACACTGTGATGAACTAAACACAACCTACAGATTTTGATAATCATCACTTCGAATGACAATACATAGGCATCTTTTCTAGTTCACCATTTCTAGTTTTAATTTATTTATTTTTTCTTCCCATAGCCAACTGATTTTCTATTTACAGGTCTCCCCTGTAGCTCTCCTTTTTTACCTGAAAAATGGGGAAGATTTTCTTTAATGATTCATTTAAAAGAAACTGTCTGGAAGCTACTACAGTTTCTGAAAGCTGATCTTTGTCCTTTTTTGCTCAAGTATATGAATCTAAATTAACCACAAACATTAAGATGCCCTGCTTTAGCTCAGTTAGGAAAATTAGCAGAATTCGCTGCCTTTTGTTTTGTGCATCACTAGCAGTAAGTCTAACAGAAGTTACTCCAAAGGAGCTGCACATCAGTCAAGAAAGCAACCTTTAGTAATAAGAAAAGTCATGTTTTCATAAAGTGCAAAATCTCTCATGCTCAGGGCTAAAACCATGTGTTTATTTTCATACCACATTTTAATGGAATACCACATACCACAATTTTAATACCATATATTTTAATGGAAATTGAGAAGTACGAAACACTTTATTTTGTCTTTGCATGTATTGTCTCAAAATTAATGTAATGGCACCACCAGCCATTTCAGTTAAAATATTGGCTATTCCCTAACAAACTGATGAATAATTATCTCATGAAGCTTCTAGAACTATTAGATTTTAAACATTTCCAAATTCCAACCTACAATAACCTACTTGAATTCCAAAAAAAAAATAAAAATTGACAAATCACTGCTTTAAACTGAATACTTTATTAATGCTTTTCTAATGAGACTAGACCTCCTGTGTTCAATATAAAGGCATTTGCATGCTGATAACACTCCTGCTTAACAACTGGAACTTGCTTGGAACATTTTTACTGCTTGGAGAGATCCACATTGCTTGATAAATCTCACCCTGAGGCCTTCACCTGTAAGCTTTAAAGAAGCAAGAAGACAGGCCACCAAAATTATG